ACACACACACACACACACACACACACACACACACACACACACACACACACACACACACACACACACACACTCACAAAACACTCCCCATTCTTGGTTACTTGTTTACGCATTTCGCTGCACAATGTGCAAATGAACAAAACACGTCCTTAGTGACAACACAAAAACAGAAAACCTGAAATTGGGCGGGTTTGGAAACGAGGTCCTTCGAATGCGTTAAGCAAGTCATATTCGGGGGCAGGCACTTTCAAACCACGTGAGGTCCTGCAGAGTTTTGACCAGTTAAAAGTCTTCTGTGCCCGTTGAGTGCTGGCTTGCTATGCTGGTGGCTGGCTGACTGGTTCGCCGGCCGGCTGGCTGGCTGACTCGTCCTCTCGCTCGCCCACCAACCCGCACTCACCAGTGATCTGACGGGTGGGCACGGCTGGGGTGGCTCGATGGGTGGCTCTTTGCTGTGCCTCTACGTGAACTATGTTGCTGCCCCACACGCACATCATCACGTGGGTGCGGGTCAAAAGTAGGTACACAAAATGGAACCCTGGTAAATGGAAACAACGCCTAAAACCTGCGGTCCCCTAATGGCTTAATTTTGACCCACATTCACTTACACGTTTCGACACAAACTTTTCTAGGTCGAGACCTGACAAGACCCATGCCTGAGCCCAGCCGGAGGACCAGCCCCAGTTCCAGCCCCAAGGTGACGACCTGCAGCCGCCCGACTTGACATGTGCCATCCTGTGGAATGGTGATTCCCCTCTCTAAAACAAATTCCCATGGTCTCAACAAGCAAGCCTGGGTTTCCCATGGTCAACAAGCCACGCCTGGGTTTCTCACGGTCTCAACAAGCAAAGCCTGGATTTCTCATGGTCTTAACAAGCAACGCCTGGGTTTCTCACGGTCTCAACAAGCAAAGCCTGGATTTCTCATGGTCTTAACAAGCAACGCCTGGGTTTCTCATGGTCTCAACAAGCAAAGCCTGCATTTCCCATGGTCTCAACAAGCAAAGCCTGGGTTTCCCATGGTCTCAACAAGCAAAGCCTCAACAAGCAAAGCCTCAACAAGCAAAGCCTCAATTGCTCAACAAGCAAAGCCTGCGTTTCCCATGGTCTCAACAAGCAACGCCTGGTTTCCCATGCTCTCAACAAGCAAAGCCGCAAACCCTACGGCCTCAACAAGCAAAGGTTGGATTTCCAATGGTCTCAACAAGCAACGCCTGGGTTTACCATGGTCTCAACGCGCAAAGCCTGGGTTTACTATAGGCATTGCAACAAGCAAATGCTCCCCATGGTGAAGTGGCGCAGGCTTGCGTCCATCCGCAGTAGGAATGGGAATGACTCGACCGATCGCTGCAATGCCAAGTTCTTCCTGGGAATCCGTCCCAGACAAAAAATGCCTGCTCGAATGGGGTCGGCAAACCGGGCTGGAGCAACAACACCAAGCGTGCCAACCACTATGTCACAGTTGGTACCGAGCAACTTGTTGGCGATGCCAACGCTTCTGCTGGATGCTCCGCAGCATGCTTGGAACTCCACGTGCTGACTTGCATCACTCCATCTGAAGTTGCGTGTTGGCAGTTTGGCTTGGCAAGTTGGATCGGGCCGTCCGAATTTCGCTCCGACTCCAGAAAGCACGGCCGGACATTGCATCCAAGGCACCAACTGCTAGACCAACTCGGGTCTTGCCAACTCGAGTCTTGCCAGTCGCCTCGGGCGAATGCTGCCAAGCAAGCTGAAATTATTGAAACTGTGTTCCCAGGCATTCCAAGCCTTCCCAAATTCTGCCAAGATCTATTCAATGATCTCGTTTCGTTCCTGTTACTTAGTCCGTTTCGCGCCAACCTGTGTTGTTGATTCAGCGGTTGTATGCGCTCGAAATGGTCAAAGTTAGCACCCCGCCTGCCACAACATGGGCTCTCCCCCAAATCGATATTATTGCTGTAGACATTCTTCAAATGACTCATGCCAAACCCAATCCACGTCAACTCTTCCGAGAGTGTGCTCACTGATTGCCTGAACTGGTTGTTGCCGTAAAATGCCACAGCCTGAATGCTACCACTGTTGGGGAATGCATTCGCTTTGCAAAGGGCTCTCTTGACCTGGACCTTCTTCTTTCGTGTGCGTGTGAAAGTGTCGGTGTGTGTGTGTGTGTCTTTGTGTGCGTGCGTGCGTGCGTGCGTGCGTGCGGTGTGGTGCGGTGCGATGCGGTGCGGCGCGACGCGGCGCGGCGCGGCGCGGTGCGGTTCGGTGCGGTGCGGTGCGGTGCCGTGCGTGCGTGCGAGGGTGGGTGGGTGGGTGGGTGGGTGGATGTGTGTGTGTGTGTGCCGGTGTGTGTGTGTGTGTGCCGGTGTGTGTGTGTGTGTGCCGGTGTGCCGGTGTGTGTGTGTGTGTGCCGGTGTGTGTGTGTGTGTGTGTGTGTGTGTGTGTTGTGTGTGTGTGTGTGTGGTGTGTGTGTGTGAGTGTGTGGTGTTGTGTGTGTGTGTGTGTGTGTGTGTGTGGTGTGTGTG